AAACGCGTATCATTTGTCATTCGGTCGCGCGAAGTCGCGCTCACAGGACGTGTCGGCTCCCTCCTAATTTATTCAAATATTATTTATTTAAGGAAAACGGGACTATTAATCACATCTCTTCAGTTTTTATTTACACAAGCGGAATGTTTGAGGGTCTTTGATCGCGGTTTGTTTGGACATTTATTAGGATCTCCTTACGCGGCGCTTTTCATGCTCGGTTACTGTACGGTTTTTGGTTATTTGCCCGTTTTGTGTTTGATCTTTTGGTTAATTAAATTGGGTGTTTGTGTTACAAGATTTTCGCCGTTGTGAACAGCGAACACGAAATAATTGTACGTACTCAATTTTTTACCATTCATGCTTTTGCCTAATGCTTAAAATATTAATATCATAAATGTTGAATTGATCACTCATTACATTAATTTTATAATAAGTTAAATACGAGTATGTGTGGCAGAATGAAATATGAATTGTGAGCAATAAAGCATGCCACTAACGGTGCGACATTAGTTGCGTACGATAAATATCCTTGATCAATCATCTTGCTAGTACAGAATTCATTGTTGGTAGATTGCCTCTTATATGAGGGGCGTAAGGGTCGTTTTTTGAGCGTCAGCCTTAATAGTTTGAATTCCGGTGCGATACAAAATGATAGTGATTAGTTTGCGGCCCTCGTTTGTTCTAGCCGGTTGCGCAGGAGCACGCGGCGTTGTCGGTGTGAAAGTCGTTAGTGTAAATTAGCGGTAGATTGAGACGTGACCGTATCGAAGTCTAACTCTTGCATTTCTTCCCTGTTTAATACTTGCCTATTTAATTTTTTACGTAATATTAACGTATAAGCTATTTCATTCATCGTTTGATTTTGTTATTATGAACCAAATTTTCTTAAACGAAATTAAAAGAAGATGATACATACACATTAGATAACTGTTGCAGAAGAACTACCCTAACGTTTTGTTATTTGATTGCCGACCGGGATGTTCATTTAATTTGAAGATCGGAAAATAATAATTTGTTTAAAATTATGTAGATAATGCTGTTAGAAGATGATGTCAGCCATAAAATCCGGCGAGTACGTATGAAAAGAGTAATGGAAGATATGACGAAAGCTGTATGCTTTTGTGACGTTCGGTAATCTGCCTACCCCGCAAGGGATATGGCGTGAAGATATAGATATATTTGTATAAGTGTGTAGTGTTCAGTGACATATTCTTTTCAAACACACATTTATAAAGAGCTAATGTCGCTTTGTCAATGTCCAGTTTTGTTATCGATAATAACTGTAAGATGGTATCGCAATGACGAATAGTATTGTGTTATTTATCGATAGCGTAATGTATATTGAGCGGCTTCGTGGTACAGTTTCATGATAATTATCATAAGACATAAGACTGTTGATCAGGTCAAAGTGTTTAGATATTTTGAGCAACGCTTAAACATCTTAGAATGTATCCTAAACAATCTCAACTTCCTATGTTAAATTATTATTCACAATACTGATAGACATACAAACAAATATCTTCACGCTGTATTTTTTACGGGGTAAGCAGAGAGGACAGATAAGATAGACAATATTAAGACCATATTAATTTTTAGCACTTTATAGTAAGTAAAATTTTTACTTAAATTTTTACCCATCCGCGTAATGATTCTTTTTTTATCGCGCCTTCATTGATATTATTAAGTAAGCAATGAAATTATTAAAGGAATAAGATTATTTGTTTAGATGCATAAGTAAACTCAAAATCAGTAAGGTAGAAAGCAATATGCACATAGTGTCTCCAGACTAATTGCATTAGAAGCTAACAATAATAATAGTAAGTTAAATAGTTTTATAATAATGGTGTAAGATTTTGTAAATAGATGTCACGATTGCAGAGATTACTCTCCTGTGCTATTAAAATGTAATCGATAACAGATAATTCTCGTAATTGAAGTTTTTTTCTACATTCTTTTACTAACCTGTGTTATGAAACCATAAAAACTGTAAGTAAACTTATTGATAGTACATTTTTTTATTATAACCGTAGTATGGTTATCACGGTTATTAAAAAAAAATTGTATCTTTATATTTCATGACATAAAATACATACATTAATTATACCTATTGAAAAACAGGGGCTTGCTCCAAAATCTACAGAAATCAACAAGTTCTAAATAAGCATCCGAAAGCCAATAAAAGCTTAAGAAGTAACAAAAGAAGCTTATTATTTGAATTATGATGTCCCCTTTAAACAAGTTTGATTAATAATTTCTATTCAATTAAAATAATTGATGGCGGGCTAGATGAAAAATTGCAGCGGCAGTTTTACTCGCCAACAATTATTTACGTCCTGACAAATTGAGACACAATGTATGATAGAGATATATTAAAATAAAGGTGAACGTCCACTGTGTACGCACGCACGGTATGCAACGGGTGGTACGATTTGTCGATGTGATATCTCCAGTATCTGTATTTTTAATAAAGTGCCATTTGACAGTTTTGACATAACGCTACAAAGCAATGATAGTATGGCTCATTTACACTAATCCATGGCATCCAGAAGAAGCTTTCGGACGATTTTTGTTCCTTGCTTTCATAGGTCGGTCATGTTTTTATTGACCATTGAGATAAACTCACAGAGGACGAACTCGCTCAGGGGTGACACCAGTGTGACCGGGTCAAAAGTCTTATGGATTTAATTCATATGACGTCATCGCCACGCATCTTATACTCTTTTCTCACATAATGCGTGCGATCGATGTACTATACTATACTATACTAGTACTATACAATAAATTTATACGAATCGGACACAGTGTACGTTTACCTTTAATGTAATGTTTGTAGACGTTTTGTTAACTATTTTGATTGTGCATCTAATTTTTAAGATATGATAATAGCCATTTCAAAAATAGTAACGGGTTAATAATATTTTCTGATAGTTATTTTTTAATAACGTTTTTATTTTAAATTTACGACCCCCGGCTCGCACTAAACCCTTGCAGATAATTTAAATAAACGAATGTCGTTTTTCTTTTTTAAATTAATCTTTATAGTTTGCTAAGTATTATTAATTAATTTTTATACTTATACTTTTATATTTTCTAATATTGTGATGGAAAATGACATCTTTTAATGAAGTCAGAGAAGCAAAGAATTACGATATTCACAAGTCCTATGTAATTGCCTAGATTTATTTTTTTATTTTATTTCATTTGATATTAATAATGTATCGAACACTATTTTTTATTTGCGATAAAGTGACAACGAACTAAATCTGAATTCAGTTCGTCGAATTAAAATTCAGAGTTTAGTCGAGTCGTGTAAAAACCTCTGTTACAATGTGTGAGCGGTGATGTTGAAGCAACTCGTTTGTAATTTTTAATTTTTAAAAGTTCAATTCAGCAAAAATAAAAGTTTAATTAAACAATTTCATGTTATTACTGATTAAGTTCTACCGGCTTGATAGTTTTTATATAAGTCACTTTAAAAAAAAAAGATAAACAATAATGGCGGCTCTCCAAAATGGTTAAAGTGGTTTACTTTGATTATTTGTAATGTGACGTCATCGCCAGTTAATTATTAAGTTTTATTTGCGCAATCAAATAGCGGACGAACATAACACCATAAAACTATTAGATATGAAATTGTACAGCGTTTATAGCCGTGTTTGTAACACGACCATGTTTATTGAATACTGCATTGTATGAAGCAAATTTATGACATGGCCGCTTTATGATACGTGATTAAGATTTCTTCGCGTCCGCCGGCGGATTAAAACAAAAAAAATGGCAATAATAATATAAGACAAGCGAATAGGTGTCAATATAAATACCCACATAAATGGTGATAAATATCCGAGAATTCCTCGAAGAGTTTATTATGTGCCGTTTTGTTTCCTTTTCTCCTGCTTTGACATGTTCTCTTTATCCGATTGTCAATCATAATAGTGGAGTTTTGTCGGAGACCACCGTGGTTTTTCTTATCTATGCCAGTGGCAAGTGCGGACATAACATCATCAATCGTGCCCGCGCGCAGCCGCCATTTTTCATCCGTAGCGCGCGAACGGTCTCCTATTTAACATTACAATAATATTAAAAACTTTTTTCATGATGATTCTCCTCCTATTTGAAAATGGAACAGTGTTCCAATTCTGCTAGAGATGCGAAGTAAAGAAACTTAGACGTTCGTCTAAATTTGGCATTAGGCAACATCCTTCGCAGCCATGGCGTGGGGGGCGTGGCTTGCGTCGACTTGCGTGCCATTGGCCGTGCGCCGTGGGAACTGCGGTTTCATCTTTGAATATAGCGCGCCGCCGATCCCTATTATTGAATCTCTATAGACACTAGAATGGCATATAAATTTCTCGTCCGTTAACGCAACGGAATACAAATTCAAGTGGGCGATGAACGTCGACTATTTACATTTCACGCGATTTTTATTGTAATTGGAACAAGTTGGCGGAATGTCGCGCGCGCGAGTCGCGAGTCTACCGACAGTGCGTCACGGTCGCGCGGCGCCCACGGAGTAATCTTGCTAATTACAGATAAAATCTGCACATCGGAACGCAATCCACAATGGCAGACCCGCGGAATGCTCTCACGTGCCCCTCAGCAGTTGAGCACAAACGAGAAAAAGAAAAGACCTGAACTTCAGTACATCCGCTAAGAAAGCCGGTTCAAATAACGCCTTCATTGACAGAGAAAACTCTAATCATTTGTACCGTTGCCTTTGGCGGTTTTACTAAGCGAAACTTTTTCTTTAACTTTTTTATGTTCCGCTTTGAGTTGGCTGAACGAAATTCGAAATTCAAATATCTTTCACTGTAGTTTTCTGTAAACTCAGCATTGGCGAAATTTGGAAAGGTTTTCTTAATTTAAATATTCTTCCAATGTATTTAAAAAATATGTACCGTATCAAACTACTTAATAAAATGCTGGCGATTATTTAAAAATAAGAACACTGCTTAATTATTCAGATGTTTAAAAACTTTTATTCGTCATATTGTCCACAGGTATGGTTCCAGAATGCGCGGGCCAAGTGGCGACGCATGGTGACCAAACAGGAAAACAAAATGGCGGAGAAATGTTCTCCGGACGCCTCGCTCGAGCTCGACATGTACCACGGGCCCATGGGCTCTATCCAATCGCTGCCGCCCCACAGTCCTCCATACTCGGTGATGGGCGGCCCGCCCAGCCCGAATTCGATGGACTGCCCATAGCCACAATTTTGCGCCCTATGAGCGCTCTGAAGTTGAACTTTTGTGGCATTCAAGTGTGTTTTGAAAAAAGACCGTTAAAAACAAATGTGACAGAGATTGCGTATTGAACGTGTGGTGGAGATTGTGGACATGTGGCTAGAACGTGGATGGACACCCGTTTCTCTGATACTATAAATAATAGATCTGGTGGTCGAATCTCAAAGGTTGTAAAATATATCACGTAACATTAATTATCGTATACACTATAATATATATTGCTGTAAGGCAATCATGCCGCGATTATCGGTGTAAGAACAATTGCATAAAGTTGTAATATAATTTTGTAGTACTTTATCGAGTCTAATATTATGTTAGAATTATTCCTGTATATCTTGGTTCTACGAACCGTAATATGAAGAACTTTTTTTTTACTAATATATTTCTATTTATTTATTGAACTCTAATAATTTAATTTAGCGTAAGTTTAGCTGTAAGCGCCGTTAGGTAGGTAAATGTGAAAATTTTCCATAGATTAAAAATCTTAGGTATAAATTGTAGATTCTTAGGAGGCAAAAAAATATGTAAAATAAAATAGGCCGGCAAAGAAGTGAATGTAATCAACAGTTTGAATATAAAAAAAAAACAAACAATTCTGTTCTCATTATTAATGTTTTTATTAATAAATTAAACTTTTAAGTAGTTTTAAGTATTACCTAAGTATAAATCCGGTTAAGTACACAATATTAGTTCCTCTTGTATAGATTATAAATTAAATTACCTAGTAAGTGATTTACATTAAATTTTGAATGGGGAGACTTTAGTGTCATTACTGCATCATGTAATATTATACGAATTATTATTCGTCATAGAATTATATTTGCTTCTAATAAGAAATCTCATAGAAAATGTTTCAAATTAAATGTAAACAGCGGCATGTCAGGTTATACAAATCTGTCAAATTGCTCCACTTGATTTTAAACCTTAATGTTTTGTGAGTAGAATTCAAAGCCGACTGGAGAAATTTGTCATATTGTGGTAACCGTGTGTACATAACGAAAAAAATTAACATCTGGTTAAATAAATAACGATTACTACTTTACTCGCATATGATAAGCAATCATTTCAAAAGAATGTGATTTAACGAAGAAACAGAGGAAATATTCGGAATAAGAGGAAGCCTTAAAGATGGCTCAAAATAAATATCGCTTATTTTTAAATGATCAATACTCATTTTATAAATAGGTTAAGTTTTTAACTTGGTTTATTTATAGAAGTGATCTGATTTTAATAATAGCTTCACGTACGGAAAACACATAAAAACGTGGGTGTCATAGGCTTCAATTTACGTGGGCGAAGACGCGAGAAAATAGATAGTTTATCCATAAAGAAACACAAACAAAAAAAATGAAAATATATTTTTTTTAAATCTTATAATCTACAAAGGATATGATAATCATGCTTTTTATCAGTCGCCTTCAAATGATTGTTAATTTTTTGAGCTTTGTTTTTGAAATTGATTTTAGTTAAAAAACAAGTAGAAAACAAAAAGCGACTACGACATCGTCCAAATAATTTATTTCATTACGATAAAAAAATTAATGTGTCACAAATCTGAAGCATTTAAGTATTTAATATCTTGAAAATTATTATTGTATGGCTTTTTATAGGATAAATATGAAAAAATATTTATTCATTTTTGGAAATTTTATATTATAGTAATTGAAAATCTTCTCGACGCTCTATTTCGGCCAACACACAATATTCTCTCCTTATCTATTTCATTGACTATCTCGTTTCCTCATTCTACGCAGGTTTTAGTTTGTTTTAAGTTGCGGTGGAGACGAATGAGACAAAATCGCGACTAGTCAAAGTGATAGAAAGAAACAGATGATTCATAACCCGATATGAAGTAGGAAAAACTAAATCTTTAATTAATTACTAGAAAACCATCTATGTTTGTCATAGAATCGCTTATTCCGGGCCGAGCTCGTATATTTTTCAGTTAATTTTCGTATCGAAATGTAATTTATATGTACGACAATAAAAATATTAATATTTTTCTTTTAATTAAGAGACATACTAAAGAGGTTTATATATGAAAAATATGATCTAAAAATTTCAATTCCTATTGTATACATTTTTACAAATGTCTATAGTAATTTAATGTTTTTTATATATATCTTGTCAATGCAAAATATTAATATATTTAGTATAAAAACGCTTATTCTGACTTAATTTACTTTTTTATCGTAACCTTATTTGCTTATTTACACATCGTCTTATTTAATAACTGCAGAAATATCCCTTTTATTTGAAAGCAACTGTAGGGATAAGGTGTGCATTTTAAAAGTATTCAAGAACATATGCTTTATTCGCTCTTTTAATATCCATGAGAAAGTCTACAATACGTATAGACTTGCGGTATACGTGAACTATATTCTATGCCATAATTGAAATCATGAACGTATAATAATATAGATTATTAGAGTCTTTAGTACAGACACCGAAATAGAGACGAGTCGGTGTTGACGTACACTCGGTTTCTGAATTAAGTATTTAAAGTTAAGCGCGTATCAAACTGTACTTAAACGTTACTTTAACAGGTGTTCGTTTCCGATTTTACTTTTCTTTTTAATGATCAGTTGATAGCAGTTTAATATAAACTAGGACTATTTTGCTTTGTAAAATGTAAAAAACTTAAGTTATCGAGAATAATCAGATGAGGTTTTGTACTTTTCTCATTTTAAGTACCGGCCGCTAAAGTGAAAAATCCGTGGTGACCTATTCCGTGTAATTAGTCAGTTTCCGGCGTCATCATTTACGCCGGTTCTGACCCTGGCTAAACTAGCTTTTAGGTAGAGTAGAATCATAACTATGCTTTATCAACTAGCTTAGGTAATATAGTTTTGTTCGAATTTCGTAATTCCACATATAACTTTAAAGAGGTTGATCACATTCTTTTGGAAAGATTTACCATAACCCATGCTAAACAAACATTGTCTCCTTGGCAATTCATTATACAAATTATGTCTAAAAAGTTATAACAATTTGTTAATAAAAATATTCCAATTTATAAATATTTGTTTTATTTGTTTGCATGTCTTGGGTATTGATAATATTCCTTTTGTGTTTATATCCTATTCACATTAGCATTTAGCATCGGAATGAGAGATGAGAAGGGGGAATAAGGCCAATTTCACTTCGGGGTTCTAAAAAAATATTATTGAAGGTCAAAGGCCGCAAATATCTTTTTTGTCTTTGAAAAACTCATGTCCCTTATTCCGAGATTGACTCGATTTATGGTAATTTGACGAGGTCATTTATTAATCAGTAAAACGAAATCTTCATGTAAGTATAACATTTTTCGATTTTGGTTTTGAAATAAAAATTTGAAATTCATTATAGATTTTATAGCTATGCCTAATTCGAAACACTATATTAATTTTAATTCAAAAACAAAAAGTATTTAATACAAAAGTAATGTCAGTACATCCCAACTACAGTTAAATGACGCTCTAAAAAGTTTGAAACAAGTTTATGGCGATAGCTATATTATAATAGAAATTACCAAAAGACAGCGTAGTCGCATGCCAATGTCATAACATAACAAAACAAATTGTTGTGGCATACGACCGCGCTGTCCTTAGTGGCCGCTAATTGTACCGCAACAGTTGCGATTGCGGCCACAATAACATTGCGGTTCGATCGACCATTGATTGACACAAGATGAATATCGAAGAAATCATAGACTACCGTAGGCGGATGCATTCTTATTTGAAAACCCGAAATGGGAGGAAGTGTTTTGTAATATTTTCCGATTAGAAGTCTTTTGAGTTTCACATTGCCGCATTACCGGCTATTTGTATTATTGTCAGAGAATAACCGATATAAGCGTTTATGTGAAATCTTATGAATTTATTGTTATTTATGAATAATAACAAATATCAACACATATACATAACCACATTGAGACATATCGATCTTCTGGCCATAGTACGGCTGACCGTCACTTGAGCCGCAGCGCTTAGAACGACGAACGGTTAGATGTTAAACGGATAAATGCTAAAACTATTTGTTTCCTACATTTTTTTAACTTCACCATAAATGTAAAAGGGCCTGAACTGAGCGTGGACCGGCTAGGATTACAAAAGAAAATCAGCATAAACCGGAGGTAGGGAAACCAAGACGTTTTGAAATAGAGTTTTGATAAAACAAATTTGATTACTCGAAATTTAAAAACCATTTTCAAGCTGCCATCATCGCATATCATATCGCTTACGGTGGTTAGATAGTAGTAGTGAAGACGCCAATTTGCTAACGTTCTTAAATCTCTATTTTAAAACCCCTTGACCTTCCTTATTTCAATGATTTTAATAGAAGAGCATCTTCCTTCTTATTTTAAAACTTCAGCAGGCCAATTCTGCTAATTTTTACTTAACAATCTCATCTCAATAGAATTATCGCTCATTTCAAATTATCGCGCTGCATTTCAAATACTTATAGTAACTTTTTAGATATTATATTCATTATCACAGGTCAGTTTAAAAAACGTGTGTAAAACCCGGTTCTATAAGTATATATAACAACGACATGTAGACAGTACAGTAACAAAATGCAAGTATTTGGGATGCCTTCGAGATGCGATTATTACGTAAATATTAACAGAATAGGGAATCAGTGTCAGGCTTAAACTATTAACCGACCTACCTTTCAATTTGATGTTTGCTTTACTTACTAACTCTAGTTCTATCCTCGTTTTATAATGAAACGGCTTATGTTTATAAAACAAATTATTAACCATGTATGTACTTTTACTTCTTTACTTTCAGGACTAGATTTTTAGGTAGGCACGTCATTTAAAACCCTAACTTTTTTATAACTTTTTAAACCTTACACTTCGCTACGTCGTTGTTGCAAAGTTTGTTATGTAAGCCGGCTGCAAACGTTGGTAAAAAAAGGTTAAAGAATTTCTTTTACTTTTTAACAATGCCTTAAAATTCCGGCCGTCTCGTTGTTCCGAATTTCCATAATATTCGAGTACCTACTTACTCGCTTATTCTGACATCGTGTGCAGCCTAATTCAAAACATATTGTATTTATAATGTCCATACGAATTTTGTACCGTGTTTTTCACATTTTCGTTATTAGGTTGTTATTTTTATTATAAGAGAGTTATGTCGCCTTCAAATATGTTTATAGTCCTTATGAAAAATTATATTTGCGATTTCATTGAAGACGTGCAGCATTCATTGATGGAAACTTCATGAAAAAAATAAAAAAAAGAGATGTTGCTGGAAGAATTGGCTGGAGAAAATATATTCTCGAATCCAGTAAGAGATATTAAAATTGTGCAGATAAAAAAAACAATTTGAAATTAAATTACTTACTTGATTAAAAAGATATCCATTAGAGGTTTAATATGGACGAAATCGAATCCTGTATGTAATATGTATATGGCATAATAACGAAATATATTAAATTTACAATCAATACCTTCGAATGATATAGTTTTGTTTGATATATAAATTATTTCATATAATATAACAATTTTTTTTAAACATATAAATTTGACAGAAACATCCTTCAACGATTATATATTTTTTTAATATAAAATTATTTTATATAAAACTTATGTGGTAAGTATACGGTCAGTTGCACAAATGTACACTAAGGTTTAATAACGCCTTTTAAAGTTCAATTTATGTCAAAATTTGTATGGGTAATATAAACTGTGAAACAAATAATAATTTTAATGGATAATCTTTATCATGTAATCATTTAATTTAAACCCAAATTATATAATAACATTAAGTAAAAAAAGCAATTTGCACAGTAATGATATCCCATAATATTCTATTCTCATAATAGTTTCTTCATATAAAATCAAACCTCATAACATTATTTAAAATAATGAATGAATGTTGTTTACTAATTTTACTTCTTTTCTAGAAGCTAACTTCTAGAAAATAATTCTTGTATTTCAAATGTTCATTATTTTAAGTTCAATAGAAGTTAGCTTAATGAATAACTCATAAATGGCGCTCGAAAACGTTATGTTATTTGAGTTATATTAACAAAACTTATGACAAATAAAGTTTATACAT